GTGTAAACACCAGAAGAATATTTCAACAAAAGAAAGATCAATGCCTTCAAAGTTACTGTGTTAGAAAGGAAAACTAAAGCTGACCATACTGAGGGTCAGACACCTCATCAAGCATAATGAAGGCAGTCACTTGCATTTCTTCGTAATAAAATATTTTATTAAAAAGATTTTGAAGTTTGCTTTTCTGTTGAAAAATATTACAGAATCATAGCTTACATAGATTAGTTAATACAAGATTGAGTCAACACACTCACTCATATGCTGAGAAGCCAACAGCCTGTGTTTCTAATAAATGGGGTACCTTTTTATATCCAAATAATCAAAAAACTATCAAACAAAATGATGATGCGTTTTTCTTACAGAATCCTTTTCTCATTTATCTAATTTACAAAAATTGACTTAAATTTCAATTTTGCATATAACAGACTTCTTATTTATTCCTAAATTAAACCTATTATATAATCAAACTTATTTACACAAAATTTCCCTTTTAACATTGCATGCAAATGTTTTCTATTATTTAAATGTAGGCTGGAAGGTAAATTAAATAATTCTCAAGAGAACTAGAAGAAACTTTCCTTGCTTTCAGTGTTTGGCTTTGATTAAGAGCATGTAGCACGTGATAAACTGTTCCAGATTTCCTGGCTCAATGCAGCCTGCAATTACAGTTTATAGAAAACAAATATATCTGACAAGGCAATATATCTTTGCCTCAAATATGTTTACTCATATAACAATTGTTGTTCATTTACTTACAAAATACAGTCTATCAGTTCCAGTTTTGCAGCTTGACCTAAGTAAGTGGGCTCTTGTTCCCAGACATACAAAACAGCACAATGAATAAGATACTTCAAAATAGGATACTCAAAAATCAAAACAAAACTAATCTAAAATAAGTTATGGCCAGTTAACACTTAAAGCTTATTGAAATCAAGTTTCCACTATGTACCTTTATACCTGAATGAACATCATACTGTATTTATGACAGATCTGAAGCATTGCAAAACTTTGGATTTTGGTTTAGATTTTGAAAGTTAACTTAGAGATGGAATTTCACCATGTTGGAAAAGCATTTAAGGAAAAAAAAAATATATCTTTCAGTGTTTTTCTGTTCCAAGACCTGGTTGTAATTTTCTTACGTTATTAAATAATTGCAACAATAGCAATAGATTTGCTTTTTTCAAACAATCTGAAAATATTCCTAGTGAAGAAAAGGCTTTCCCATGCTGCTATTACCAAAGTGCAACAATACCAATTCTAAATAGCAAAAAGCTATTTTTTTAATATATTTTTTTAAATATTAGCTTTGTAAAAGTTTTAGAACAATAATTCTATATGTCAACAAAAAAATCTGAAGCAGGGAAAAGTTATATTCAAAGACCCACTCACGGTGAGAAAAGGATTTTCTTGACTTATGAACTATAGGAAGAAGCAAAAGAACAATCTCTCCCAGTTTTTGGCAATGAACATGCAAGCCAACCAACATCTGGCATTCCTACAGATTCAGACAGGTGCCTCAGTGCCTTTTTCCCTAGACTGGGCTGACACTGCAGTACCTGAAGCACCCATCAAACCAGCACAGAGCTGCTGCAGCCCTGGGAACAGCCAGGGAAAGCACAAGGCCATCATGCTTCCCCAGCCTCATCCCTGCACTCCAGCAAACTCCTTTCCTGAGCCTTTCACAAGTGAAGAATGAACCCACTGCAGTGCTAAATTAAAATGCTCAGTTTCCTGGATGTTAATTGACACCACTACCATGCTGGAGCAGATCTCAACATCTTAATTACGCAGGTATAAACCAGGTTTTGCCAATAGGCAGCCTAAGGCAGAGCCACCTGAATTACATGGAAGTTACTCATTAATCTGGATATGTCATTGCAATAAATCAGAAAAAATGAAGCCCTGCCTATCTGAAAAAGCAATAAATATTAAAATACCTGACCTAGGAAGATAAGTGTGGTAATTTGGCCAACAGTGATTTAGCAAAAGTTCCATAGCATTTCCTAAATTATGTCCACCACAGCAGTGGTCACTGTTTGTTTCCCTTGTGTCACTAATATCTGTGGTCAACAAGAAACATTAAAGGATGAGATATATTCCAGTTTTACTGCCCACATGAAAAGCAGAAAAAATCAAATCTTTCCGTCTCCTCTTGGCCTTTGTAACAAAAACATAGTGATTCACAAATGGAGACTTAGAACCAGTTGTAACCCTCACTATGTAATGGAAGCAATAACCCAGGTAGGCTACTGCTGGTGGAGTTACACCAACTTTAATTTTTTCCTATGCTACATGTGTAATCCAACACACATTACTGTCGTGGTTTAACCCCAGTCAGCAAATAAATATTATGCAGCCACTTATTTCAATTTACACTGATTTTATTATTAGAACCCCTAATTTCAATACAGTACTTAGAAATAAATACCATGAAAAAACAGGACATAAAGTTGGATCCTAAATATCTTTTTAGTTCAGAAATTCATTATTTTCCTCTTAGTTACTTAGATGTTTCTTACAAATAACTTAGCTATTTTCCTTGAATACCACTGTTGGACACTTGTCAATATTTCTCAAGGAAAAACTCTCTACAAGCCAGAAGCCCAAGAGGCCAAGATTCTTCTCCTCAAAATGTAAATGCCTGCTAAAGTGCTGACACTTAAATTAGGCCAACCAAGTTAAGTAGTAAAACTATACAAAATAACACCACAGCAGTAGAATAGCACTTATTATCATCATCTTAGTAATACAAGCAATGCAGCAACACAGAATGCTTCACTCCCACATCACTGGATCTGCTCTGAAGTTGCAAGCAGCAGGATTACATTGCTCAAGCAAATAACAAATACTGCCTACCACTTTCACTGCTGAACAGTGGCTAAAGACCTTTAGATGCATCCCTGTGTCCTCCTCACTTCCTAACCACAAAGAGAACACAAGAAAACAAACCAGCCAATGAACCAAACACAAACACTCTGTCCCCATCCCCTTTTTCATGTCATTCAGGTCACATTCTGTGATCAGTAAACAGACTGAGTTAAGATTTGATAAAAATCCCAGGACAACAACACTTGAAGAAAGTAACACCTTTGGCACTAAGGGCTCCCTCTTCAATACAATATGGCAACGCTTTCCATAAGGAGATTGACCACATAGATCTTAGAAAACTCTTTCTGAACACAGCAGCAACTATTTGCTCAACTCTCCACACTTAAAAAAGGTTACCATGGCTACCATGTGCACCATGCTCAAACTGATCTCAGGAAAAATGAGGGGAAGCTCTCCTGCCTTGTTGTGCCCTGTGCATCCTCTCTGTGCTGCCAGATCATGGCCACCTGCACCTGCTTTTTCTGCAGCAACAGAAATGGCTGTGGAGAAGCAGCCAACATGAACAGTGCACCAACCCTGACATGATGTACACGTGGCCATGAGCAGTGCAATCTCCACCAACTAAGTCCAATGAAATAACATCCTAATACGAATTCTGCTACTTCCAAACCTTACCCCTGCCTCAACCTACAGATCTTCATGTCAGACTTTGTTTTTCTCATCTCAGTAAATATGATGTTTTGTATTCTTCAGCTAGAGACAGAAAAATCTTTCTCTCCTGAATCCTTTAAAGCTTCTAGCCAGAGGGAAGAAAAAGGAGGAGAAAGTACTCTAAGAACCACATTTGGAGTGCCATCCCCTTGTGACTGAAACAAATCTCTGTATCTGCTACAGCTATTAGCCTTCTCCAAATAGCAGCTGAAGCAATATGGAACAAACTTGGTCCCTAGATAATTTCCCAACTACTCATATGGTTCTGTATAGCAGCCATGAAAAATAATAATTCTTAGTAATTTAATTCTGCTGTTGCTTGAAAAACTTATGACCCAAAGCAGAAATTTTGGATGTGTTTCTAGATTCAAGACAAAATTGCAAGCTCAAAAGACAAAGTTTTCTGAGATTTATTTCCAGTCTTTTCTTTCAGAGGATATCAATCCTTGCAAAAGAGGTAGAGATTAGTCTGCTTCACATTTTAAAGGAAGCATTAAATTTTGCAAAAATTATTAGTTCTTCTTCACTTGCAGTTGTAAACCTTAAGTATAAGACCTCTACTGAAACTGCAGCTCAAATAAAATGCTAGCTGATAATACATAACAGGAAATGTCCATAACAATCCTAAAAGTATAGAAGACACACTAAAATGGAAATTACATTACAGCAATGATTAATGACAGCAGATTATTCTGTATAAGACAGTAAGCAAGAAACTGTTGAGTGAATCTTGCAGAAAAAATTACGGCACATCTCTTGCACAGACCCTATTGTCCTCCTACAAACAAACAGAAGCATAAATAGAACCTGAAGAAAAATCCAGTTTTTATATTCCCAATTTTTTGTTCTGTTCTGATAGTTCTGAAAGCAGGGCAGGGAGCTGGGAAATGACACAGAAGATTTGGAGGCTTTCATTTTAGCCATCCAAAACCCTACATAGGAATCTGCGTTGGGAGTCAAGCCAGACATGAAGAGCACAAATTCCATCCTCAAATGAAAGACAGTGGAAGAGACTTCCCAAGAAACTAATGCATTAAGTTGTATGTTTTCCACTCTTTTTTCCCCCTTTTTTAGAGCTCTCTGTCCCAGATAAAGCATGAATATGTGAATGTAGACTGACATCCCTGTGCAAAACCCTCCTATATGCAAGCTGCCACTTCCTTACTTTAATAAGCTTTAGCAATCTCCTCATATAACTTTCCTTAATTAAATGTATGGAGGAGGGATTTCCTTAAAAAGAAAGGGATGTCTGTGCAGATTAATGTGGAAGTATTAGACATGCATCCATTTATGCCAGTCCAAGATGACAATGATTTTTTTTCTATTTTTTTTTTCTATTATTCCTGCTATACCTTTTCAGTTAAATAGATTCGAGCTTTATTTCTAGGAACAAGGAAGGTTTACATTTTGTTCTTTGGAGGTCCTGAATTTAATATGCATTTAATGTCCATATACTATACCTTTTTTGTTGGTTCTAATAATTGTCTCAGACAACAGTAAAGGGCTTCCATTGGAAACTTCATTTATAGGCTTCTCTGGTGGTTTGTTGGCAGTATTTTCTTTCTTCATGTCTTTCTTTATTTCCTGCAGAAGACAGGTAGAAAGGGAAAAGAAAAAAAGATCCAGTTTAAAAAAAGGTATTACAGAATATTCTACATCTCAAGCTCCCAAGATTTCTTAAAACTTCTATGCACACACCTCTGCCTGCTCTAATATTACCTCAAAGACTCTTACAAAGTTGAAATGCCACAAAAAGAAAGCAATTTTCAGTAACCTTTTCCAATGGGCACTACTGTTTTTCTTTTTCAAATAACCCCTTATCTATGTGTAAAAATCTCTTAGTAAAGATCACCAAACCTGAAAAAGTGTAAGGAGGAAAAAAAATAGATGTTTCAGTTTACCAAGCAGGGAGCTGTACATTTGATACACAGGGCAGAACCAGTACAGAGTCCCTAATGTAAAGGCAGCTAAGTTTGCTTTCCCTCCAATGAGAAGACCACAGAAACAACCACCATAGCAGGAAAAAAAACTATTAACTAGGAAAATATGACAAATGTTACCATAATTGGCAGAAGCATATAGCGAGACTGCTGTCAGAGCTGTTGCTAACACTGACACATTTTGCTGCTCACTACCTTTTAAGGGGATCGACAATATATATCGAAAATATATATGGTGGGGTTTCAGGAAAGTAAATCCACAGAAAACAGCTTCATAGTTACTGCTAGAGATTCACAGTACCCTATCAGCTTCTTAGGCAGACTTTAACAGCCTAACTCTGTTGCCATCCAAACCCACTTTGACAAAGCATCCAAAATATCATCACCTTTCATATATCTTATATTGAAACGCCGCTGAAGCAAACAAGCAGAATCATCTCCACTTTCTAGACAGGTAACTGACATACTACAGAGGCTGAACCATTTGCTTATAACTAGGTCCCAAAATATAAGGAAAAAAATCAGTTTTGGCTCCAAGCTTTGTCCTAGAGTCACAGAGCCACTCAGGCTGAGAGAGAACTCAGAAGGTCCCTACTCCAATTCAGTTCAAAGCAGGGTCACCTCTGAGTGGAGGTGGCCAGGCTGTTCATGGGTGTTTGGGCAGCTGGGTTTTGCAAACCTCAAAGGACAGAGGCTGCAGAAGTCCACTGCTTGACTGACTTCATAGTGACAAAAACCTTCCTTATACCTTTCCTAGAACTTTATTCTCAAATCCCATCTGCTCTCTCCTGCCCGGCCCACCAGGCAACACTGTGAAAGGTGTGTCTCTATCTCCTGGATAACAATTTTTATGTAGCAAAAGGTCCCCCCAAAACCCTGCTTTCAAGCTGAACAAGCCCACACTTCCCTTAGCATCTCCTTAGGGAGCATATGCTCCAGCTTCCAGAGGCACAGATCTTGCTTTGGCTCATCAATATTTTTATGCAAAATTCTCATCCCATCCACAAAATGGTATGCTCTATTCTGGATGTGGATTTATGAGTGCCAGGTAAGGAGGATTACCACTTCCCTCAATCTGCAGGCTATTAATGCAGCCCAGGATGCTGTTCACTGAGCTGGTGCCAGGGTACAAGATTGGCACATGTTTATGTTGTTGCCCACCGGGACCCACAGGTCCTTTTCAGCAGAGTTGCTCCCAAATTTATCAGGCCCCACTCTGCAGATCTGCCAGCATTCCTCCTTCCCAGGGCAAGAACTGGTATTTGTCCTTGCTGGATTCCATAATGTTCCTGTCTGGGGCCCTCTGAAGAGCAGCCATGCCTTCAAGCATGTCAGTTGCTCCCCCAGTTTGATATAATCTGCAAATTCAATGAGATTAACATTAAACAGGCTTCAGAGATAGGTGATGGCTTTGGATGAGCTCTTCCCATTACAAAAACCTCTACCTCTCCTCCTCTATTTCATCTCTCTTACATTCAGTACCCTCTTCTACATTCTACAGCGCAGGATCAATTTTCACCACCCCACAGTACCATACACAGGAAATATTGTAGATCTTATTTAGATTTTCAGCATATCAGACATGAGCACTAAAGCGTAGAAAGCACACTTGTGTTTGAAGTTTCTGAAGTTGTCACCTGTGAACAGCATCAAGCAAAGCAAGAATTTTTAGGTTATTCTCTGTAAGATACACCTTAAACCTGAATCTCATAATTTTTTTTAACCTTTTATTTCCCCAAGCCAGTTGTTACTTCAAAGCTGACTTATTAGCTATACAACATTAATAAAGTCTTCTACACCTGCTCAAAGCATTTTCTGTGTATCAGTACATTAGCAGAGCTAAAACTTTTATAAATTACTGCTTATGGAAGGTACAGTAAATCCTTAATGTAAAGTGAACCATGTGAGAATTTAAGAACACTATATGCATTTAGAAGAATATATCACTTTCTAAAAGAAGTGGACTAGACTTAACATATACATTATTCCACAAGCTTCTTTTTCACAGCCTTAAAAATTAAAATGTATAATAAATTACTTCACCCAGAGCTTTACATCTGTTTTGCAGGTAGGTGACAAACTTACTGCGTATTAAAAAAATATCTGACGTTTAAACAGAATTTGTGAGTCAAACAGCGTTCTCATGTGAACAAGACCACAAGACAACATCCTATGGAAGACCCCATCTTGCTAGAACTTACTTCCTGTGCATCATTACCATGTTACTTTTCATTCTTTATGCCAAACGTAATTAAATCCTCAACTCACAAATTCTGAAACAGCAGTACAATATTTTTTAACTGTAAAAATCCTTTTGCAACTTTAAAACTGACAAAGAAAATTGTCTGCTATAACAGAAAACAATGCTGTACCCTTTAGTCTCCAAATGAATTACACTGGTGCCTTTGCTGCTGCTGACAGCTTTTTGAGAAAGCCTTTTTTGGCTCCTGAAAAAAGCAAAGGAATACAAGACAAGTCCCAAACACTGGTATTTGTTTTTAGCATGGGGAGTCTTGCACTTCTTTCTCATCCACTATTTGTGGAAAGAAGAAAGACACATATGCCAAGTGTCCACTAAGTCAAAATTCACACAGGAGGTTTGGCACCTTACAGTCACCAAAATTGTCCAAGGACTTCTTTTTGTGTGTGCCTTTCTAAAACTTTTTTGAGGTACTTTTCATTACTGTTACCTTTGATGCTCATGAGGGCCATAATCTTTAATAGCTACAGCCCAGAGTAACATGACATGATCAACCCCATCAACCTGAAATTACCAATCCTGGAGAAAATTGAGTGTCTCAGGATGCATTCTGCAGTAAGCAATGCCAGCTTTAATACCTTTGTACATCTTTTCAATTCCTGGTCCTAGTCTCTGGTATTCACATGCCCTCTGAACAGAGAGAAGCTGTGAGAGGGAAAACAATTATCTCTGCATGCTGCTCCTGTTGTTGTTTTGAACATGTGGAATGTGTTGGAAGATTATTTACCTGAAGGTAATTGCTTGATTGGATTCTGGTGATGGTACTTTGATTTATTGACCTACTGGATCCACGTGTGTGTGTGTGTGTGTGTGTGTGTGTGTGTGTGTGTGTGTGTGTGTGTGTGTAAGTAAGTAAGTAAGTGTGCGTGTGCGTGTATGTGTGTGTGTGTTGGGACTGTCAACTGAGTCACGAGTTTTCAGTAGTAGTTAGTTAGAAGTAAGTATGACACAATATAGATATAATATAGTGTAATGTAATATAATATGGATTTAACAAAGTGAGTATTCAGCATTCCAAAGCCATGGAGTCAGATGCCAATCATTCCCAGAGCTCGGAGTTGCCTGATTTGACTATATTAGTCTACAGCATAAGACTAAAATCTTATAAACAAAACCTAACAAATGCCCCAGCAGCCTCACCACTGTAGCCTGCAACAAACACTGATGCCAATATTTTAGCCTCTCTCCTCTCCCTAGTATGTTGCTTCTGCCTCTTTGCTGACTTCTCTTCTGTAGTGCTCTCCCTTGGGGAATTTAGGATTTTAGAACTTTTCTTCAGCTGTGGCTCAAACAGAGCCAGGCATCCTTATCCTCAGGCCAAAGGGATCCTTGGTACTATTAAATTCAGAAATATTGACATAGCCCTTTGCATTTATCCCCACTCTAGGCTGCTGTAAAAAAAAATAGATTATTACTCTAAAATACCATAATACTTTACTCAACATTGAATTTCTTCTTGAGAAAATGAAGTGAAAACAAACACAAACACTCTGGACAAATAAATATACCAAGTCAATTTATTTTTGTTTTTATTTTAAAGCTCACTTTATTTTACTGCAAAAAGTACACTGAACACGACTACCTGGCATATTTGGTAAATGAACTACAATGGCCCTAGAAGCTTTATCAGTAATAGTTAGAGAACTCTCTCTATGTAACCCAGTCCTTCCAGATCTGCAAGGAGTTGAAGCCTACCACATCAGTGAAGTGTAGGCAAATGAACTTGCAAACCATGCATATCAAAGGTGGCTTGTGGGAACTTTCCCCAGTATATGACAAAATCTATTTCTAGTTCTGATTTCAAATTGAAGTTTGCAGATCTTATTTTTTTAAGAAGAAATTCCATGTACACAAATAATTAGAAATCAAACTTTCAGTTAGGATATAAGTCCTCATTCTGCCATAAGTAGTTCAAGAAGAGCTGAATTTAAATGCTAAAGGAGGATGAACAGAAACTAAGAGTCCAATTTCAAGTTTAGAAACTGCTATGTGTTGAAAACTAAGCTTGTGTAATAAAGGAGAGGAGAAACTAGACAGGTAAGATATTAGATTACATTATTTTGCCCAAAAATACTGGGAAAAGATCAACCTGCTGCCTGCCCAGCAAGGACTTCAGTGCACCTCCTGACCAAGACTTTTGCACTGGCTTCTGGTTTTATTTTGACTACAGAAGATATATTCACACCCTAATGAATACAACCACCACTCACTGTGGGCCAATCTGCCCTTGAGTAGAACGGGGTGCGTGGACGGGGACAGCCGGACACCTGCGCCACGCTGAGTCTCCTCTAAGGGACGCAGTGTGACAAACCTTCATTTTTATTTTATTTTATGTAAATCCACCACAGCAATCCCTGTGGTGACAATATCTGGAACAGGCTTGA